ATTTCACAGACCCTCAGATTCTTCACTGACAGTGTGAAACCTAGTTCAATCTCTCCCTATGATCTCCCGTTCATACACTTTAAAGACCATTTTGAAGAACGTGTAACAGTTTATTGGTTCCTTGGTACGAATGGTTGTTATTCTTTCCAAGCTTACACATAGCCTCTAACTCGGAAAGATCACTTCATTTGAATATATGGGTTTGGTTATGTTGAAGTAAACTATGTAGTTTAGCTCCGATGATATATCATTATGACTATAAAACTCAAATCAAAGATAGATAGCAAAAAGTGACATACTAAACTCAAAACTTATTGACAGCAATGTGTTCTTCACAAAGGAAAACAGAGATCGATTTTTATCCTCATACAAAAGATACAGAAACACACACAAAGACGCACTGAAACTGAAGATGAAGGTTCTCTTTAGGAGAAAATTGAACATCTTTCTTTTATTTTTGGCGTCTCTAATGAAAAGAAACAGAGAAATTTTCAGCTGAGAATACTCAAGCCTCAAAGGTCATTGATTCTGCTTCTTTCCTTGTGGCATCGAATAGTACAGTGGACAGATACCTCTCTCCAAAACTGGGGAACACCGCCTGCAAAATAACAAATTCAGTGGAGTTCTTTTGACCTCAGAATCAGTAACACAATAAAGACTCAGTTTGATTGCTTCTTGGTTTGTTTATATGAGAGCTTCAAAGCTTTAGGGGGTGATGGTGATGGCATGCATAACCCAAATAACTTACCACAAAAAGCTTCCCGGCATTTTCGGGCCTCTTTGCGAGTTTGATTGCTGCGGCTGCTGCTGCACCAGATGATATCCCCACCTACAATTTTTAGAAACATGTATTCATTATTAATTGAGAATATGCAGCAAAACCGAAAAACTACAAACAACTAATCCCTACTGATGTGGCTTGAATCCTATAAGGTCTCAACTTGTCTTAAGCAAAGATAAAAGAACCAAAGAAAAAAAAAAAGAATTTGTAACCCTTGTAGAGTGAAATGTGAAATACTTACAAGAAGACCTTCTTTAACAGCAAGAAGCCTTGCCATGTCAATGGATTCATCACTTGAAACCTGTAGAAATCGTTACAGCAAAAGTAAGAATTGCAGTTCTCTTACATGATGCATTACAAGTTTCTGATCAGTAATAGTATAAAAATTGGAGACTAGTTCTTACTTGAACAACTTCATCTATAAGATCAACCTCCAACACACCTGGGATAAAACCAGCACCTATCCCTTGAATCTTGTGAGGGCCTTGGCATTTTCAAGCAAACATCAAAGCGTTAGGTAACAAGGAACATGCACGAGTTATAGTAATAAAACGGACAGGGAATCACCTGGCTTCCCACCGGATAGAATAGCACTTTCAATTGGCTCCACACCATAAAGCTGACATAAGAGAAAAAGAAAACAAAATAAAGAAATCTTGTAAAGACAAAACCGATTGAAGCTTAAGATTTTGTTCTCACCTTAACGTTGGGGTTCTGTTCCTTGAGATACTTCCCTGCACCTGTAATGGTACCACCAGTACCAATCCCAGAAACAAAGCCATCGATTTTTCCATCAGTGCCTTTCCATATCTCAGGTCCAGTAGTCTCATAGTGGATCTGCATTTGGACAGCTTCAAAGTTCAAAAACAGACAGAAACGGATTTCTTTCTAAATCACTCACTAAAATAAATAAGCATTACCTTTGGGTTGGCAGGGTTCTCAAACTGTTGGAGCATGTAACCATTGGGTGTTTTGGCCAGAATCTCTTCGGCCTTTGCGATAGCGCCTTTCATGCCCTTAGCAGGGTCAGTTAAAACCAACTCAACTCCAAAAGCTAAGAGAATGATCCTTCTCTCAATACTCATTGAAGCTGGCATTGTAATGATAAGCTTGTATCCCTTGGCAGCCGCCGTGAATGCTAACCCAACTCCGGTGTTTCCACTCGTTGGCTCAATCAACACACTCTAAATGAAGAAGAAAACTAAAAAGTCAAAACACAAAATGAACAAAGAAAACTATCATGGTTTGAAAGAATCAAGGACCTCTCCTGGTTTAATAAAACCCTTTTTCTCTGCATCAGAAATCATGCTAAAACCAATCCTTCGCAAACCAAAAAACGGAACAAAGTCACAAATCGAAACTCAGAAGAAAAAAAAAGATGTCAGAGTTTCTGGACAAAAGGAGAAGAAGAACCTGTCTTTGACACTGGAGCAAGGCTCCATCATCTCGAGCTTAGCAGCGACACGACCAACACATCCTTCCGCCACATTGTTTAGATACACCAATGGAGTGTTCCCAATCAACTACGGAAACCACAAAAGTAAAATCAATCATTACATGAAACGGAACAAAAGTCTCACTTTTTTGTTGTAAATGAAAAGTTGAAGAGCTTACTTCGGTAACATCATTAGCAATACGAGAAGCCATGATTCAAGTAAAAGCTTCACTGCTTATATTTCACAAAGAGAACGTTAAGACCAAAGGGTCATAATAAAACAATCAACAGCCAATGGTTCCTAAACTAAAAGCCTAAAACTTTAGCAAACACACATGATCAAAAAACATGAATCTAAACACGAAACAACGAGATTCAACATCGAAATCAGCTCAATACCTTTAGCCGATTCAATCAAACAGAGTTGAAATCTGTAGAGAAATAAAATCAAATTAAATAATGGGAAGATGATTATGATGATGATGATGATGAAGATACCTCTTGAGTGAGAAAGATAAATGAAAAGGAAGAACGTATGGAATAAAATCGTCAATTGATGGTTTTATTGACTTTCTTCTATTCCTGTATATAATATATATACAGCCAGGTAGATGCCACATGCTTTGGATATATATTAAACACGCGGTGGTTGTTAACCATAATTCATTCTCGGTTTATAATATACTCTGATCCGGTTTAGTCTTCTTTAAACAGGTTTATCTATACTATTAAAAGTAAAGACACCCTTGAAAAATCGACTGATAAAAGTTGTCTACATCCTCATTAATGGCATTTTGTTAATTTATTTTCTGGGCTTATATATATATATATATATCGATTTGTTACAAATCACATATCACATATTGCATATACTCGAATTATTGTCTCTCTCTTTCCATTAATTACTCTAACCATATTTCATATTATATTTCATACATTTATATTGTCTTATAAACTTTATATTACACGATTTCAATCTATAGAATGACTACATAAATATTTATTATAATATAAATTAATTATATGGTGTTCAGATGCTCTCATACTTATAAATGTTTACATATTTATAAAATAAATTGTAATTGTAAATCATAATATATAATTCAATATACTGTATAGTAATTAAGATAAAATAAAAATATAGTAATTTAGATATTAAATACTAAATTATATTTTAATATACTAATTTAGATATTATATTAAATATAATTTTTATTCTTTTCACATATATTTTAATATTTTGCATTAATAAATTGAAGTATGTTGTAAACTCTATGAATATATGTTGTCATGAATATGTAATTCTTTTAATTTATAGTTTATAAAATAATTTTAGTTAAGGTTTATATATATTATTTATTGTAGTAATTTAATTATGAATATGAATAATTTATTTATAAATATTATAGTAATGGTATTTCTTATTTAATAAATCCAAATGAATTAAAATTAATTGTTATAATATTTAACAGTAATTTATAAATATTAAAACAATAAATATTTATATTTTTCTGAAAAAGATATTAAAATATACTGTCAAAATGAAATATTAGAAAAGGTATTGGTAATATCTTTGATGTCTGATTTTGAAAATATTTAAATAATATATTAAGATTGTTATTGAATAATAACTAAATTTGTTATATGCAAGATAATTTCAAATATTTTCGTATTAACTTTTCTTCATATATCAATATATCATCATTCTCACGGTGACATGTAATGGACGAGATACGTTTTGTTAAGAAAATATTACAAAAACTATTTTTTATAATTATCTTCGTATTAAAATAAATGAATTGCTTCATCTAAAAGTTTATAAATTAACCACAATCAATATCGTGGTTAGTTATTCTTTGTTTGGATTCCATAAATTTTGGTAATTTACTGTAGTTGTATTACCATTAACTGTTAAACTTTAAACTTCTTAACTAATTCAAAATATCTTCAAGAAATATTCTTTAACTAATCTGCGTAACCAGATGTATATCGTCCCTACCTATTATAAATATAGCCTCTTTTAACCACTATATTCATCATTCATTGAAAAACTTAAAACAAAAATGGCAAATAATTTGCAGTTGTCTTTCTTGAGCGATATAAAACCGAGGAAGACTGCATGTCGCATCAAAGTCAAAATATTTCATACATGGAGACATTTCATGAAAGACATAGGGGAGACCATGGAACTAATCTTTTGTGATGCAAATGTAAGTTTATCGTTTTGTATAGATTTATGATTTAGATATCTTCATTTTGTAAAAGTGTAACCTAAATGATAATGTTTTCTAAGCGCGGGTCAAAACCTAAATGATAATATTCTTCCCTATATTTATGGAACAATTCTTCTATTTTTAAAACTATATTATTTTGAATCATAAATGTTATTAATTTTCTTATTGGTCAGTTTTCTCCTATTTTTATAAATTATCTTGATTGGTGTGTATCTATCTAACACGAGTATATTTTTATCTAGATGTTATTGGACAAGTTCAAGACTTGGGTGATCTGGAAACCATAGGGCGTAGTGGTGGGAAACAAAAGAATAAGTTGGAGTTTAGTCTCGTGGAAACCATACAAAATTTTTTTTATGGTTAATAGTATAAAGTTAGTCCCCCTACCTGTTATAAATTTCTCAAGCGCGGGTCAAAATAAAATTGCCGAAAACTATATAATTCGATATAAACTATATAATTCGATTAACATATTTATTGGATTTAACTACAAATTTGTAATACAATTTTGGGTATTTTTAATAGTATTGATTTTTCAAGTTTATTATAGGTCATGGACCCATACAATATGTGTTTTAATTCTTCAAACTCTCACAACACCTAATTTTTTTATTCTCTGTTCAACCACAAACTGACTCGGTTATGTAAAACTCAAGGAAAAGACTCTACTAAAATGTTAAATATACATCAAATTTCGCATATAAAACTATCATATAATAGAAATCAGATCATTTTATACATTTTGTTATAACCGAAACAAAATCCTCGCTTTTCAAGCGCAGATCAAAATCTAGTACGAGATTAAACATGATTACTCCGGTCGATATGGTTTAGTTCGGTAAAATACTGTAACGCACATGATAATAGTATACAACTCATATGATGTGGTTTTCAGGTAACTAAATCCGATACAATTTTATAATTACTATATAATATAGATAAATTTATTTAACTTTAATTATTAAATATATAGAAAATAGCACAAACACATTCATCAATATTGTATTTATATAATATATAAAAATAGATATGTAATATTGGGCTGATAAAATTTATTGTTACTAAAATACGTTAGTTTATAAAATAAATTATAAATTGTATTTTGGAAGTATAATAAATACACTAAAATTAAATATAATTAATATTTATATTATAAAAATTCATGTTTCTAGTCGGTTTTTACTTCGGTTTGGATTAGTTTTTGGTTCGGTTCCGGTTTCTGGTTCTATAGATATATGATTCACTAGTATAACTAGTAGGATCCAAACTCAAACCGAATCTTATTTTTTTGTTTGGTTTGTTTTGGTTCTAGATAAATCTACCTAGCCTTAGCTACAATTTTGCATTTTGAAAGTATAATATTTTAGTTGAGGAAACATGTGAATAAGACTTGTAAAGTTTTTCAGATATAATTTTTTTATAAATTAAATAAAATCTCAATAATATCATATTAAATTGTATATTTGAGATATATAAATAATTTTTACAATAAAATCTACATTTTAAAAAAATATATTAATATCACTATTTTTTATTTATATGTATCCTGCAGTTACACTATTTATTATACATGTTATCATTTATATTTTGTTTTGAACCGCTTATAGACAAACCGCAGTTCAAACTGTACCGCAAATTTCAATCCGCTTGTCCCACATCGTTCAATCTACTGTTACCATTCGAAGCTTATAAGCGGTGTGAAGTGGTACGGTCTAACTGCGGTTCATGCGATTTGCAGGATAAATGTGAATTTGATAAAAAAAATAGTGTGGTTTTGATAGAAAACATAATGTAATAATATATTGATACTACTAGAAATTATTATTTTTCTTAGTGGTAATTTCTTAATATTTTTTATAATTTAAAATATTAAAATTAACTTGAAATATAAATTATAATATATATATATATATATATATATTATTCTTAATATAATTTTTTGGAACAAAATACAAAATTTAAAAGATATTCTAAATACTTTTAATACTTTTACCAAAATTAAATATAACTAAAATATTATAGTATATAATTTATATTTTAGATATGTATCTATTTAGTTTTTGGTTCATTTGAAATATTTTACATATAAATATACACTAACGATTTGTTGTTGTGGTATTTAGTTCGTTAACTCTTTGTTTCACATAACTTCCCGATTTGACTCAAAAACCAATTTCTAACACAATTTATAATCAAGGGAAATTGCTAAAACTAGCACATTCATGATAAACTATTTCACTTTTACATTAATCATCTTTACACTTAAAATTTTGATAGTCAAAAGACCATAGTACCCTTAATTAATTAAACTTAACACTTTTAATAAGGTTTTGATGGATTAGGGTTTAGAGTTTAGAATTTAGGGTTAAGGGTTAAGAATTTAGGATTTAGGGTTAAGAATTTAGGGTTTAAAGTTTAGGGTTTAGAATTTAAGGTTTAGGGTTTAGAATTTAGGGTTTAGGGTTTAGAATTTAGGGTTTAAGATTTCAAATTTAGGATTTAGGGTTTAGGGTATAAAATTTAGGGTTAGGGGTTTAGGGTTTTGGGTTTAGAATTTAAGGTATAGAGTTTAGGGTTTAGGGTATATAATTTAAGGTTTAAGGTTTAGAATATTGGGTTTAGGGTTTAGAATTTAGGGTTTAGGGTTTAGAATTGTTATTTTAGGGTTTAGAATTGATTTTTAAGGTTTAGAGTTTAAGGTTTAAGGTTTGAGTTTCGAAATAGTTTAATTCGAAAAAAATAAACAAAATATTTTTTGTGCTGATAATAGTATACAGCTCATATGATGTGGTTTTCAGGTAACTAAATCTCACAATTTTATAATTATTATATAGTATAGATAAATTTATTAACTTTAATTATTAAATATATAGAAAATAGCACAAACACATTCATCAATATTGTATTAATATAATATATAAAAATAGATATGTATTATTTGGATGATAAAATTTATTGTTATTAAAATAATTTAGTTGATAAAATAAATTATAAATTGTATTTTGGAAGTATAATAAATACTATAAAATTAAATATAATTAATATTTATATTATAAAAATTCATGTACCTAGTCGGTTTTTACTTCAGTTTGGATTAGTTTTTGGTTCGGTTCCGGTTTCTGGTTCTATAGATATAGGATTCACTAGTATAACTAATAGGATCCAAACTCAAACTGAATCTTGTTTTTTTTGTTTGGTTTGTTTTGGTTCTAGATAAATCTACCCAGCCTTAGCTACAATTTTGCATTTTGAAAGTATAAAATTTTAGTTGAGGAAACATGTGAATAAGACTTGTAAAGTTTTTCAGATATAAAA